CAGGCAGCTGGGAGTGATGTTCCCTCCCGAAGGGGACCCAGAGATGACTGCGGCCGCACTGGTGTACCATGGAGTCAACGAACCAGATAAGCTGTTGCGTGTGTTAACGACATATCCTCCTCCTCGCTAGTGTCCACAGTTAGGAGTACACATGGTGCTGTCGCTTATGCGGTGCACCAGGTGAACTGACCAGAAGAGTGCTTGAGCAGCATACTTCGCATCATTGTAGAAACTTTTCTCCCTCGGGAGCCAGAGATGGGTCATCACAAGATTGAGACCCATGCCAGGAGTATGGTCTTGGCGAACATTATACATACACACAAGGAGTTGGTAGAATTGCTGAATCACTGAAGAAGGCACCCTCTACCACCATCACTACCACTATTACAACTGCTACCATCATCACTACCACCTTCTACCGCTATTACAATGCTACCACCTTCTACCACTATTACAACTGCTACCACCTTCTACCACTATTACAATGCTACCACCTTCTACTACTATTACAACTGCTACCACCATCACTACCACCCTCTACCACCTTCAACCATTATCACAACTGCTTCCACTCTACCACCACCACCACCACCTTCATATTTTTCTACAAACTTTCTTAAATTATGTGTGTTTCTCACATTCTTTACCAAAGCGCTGGCACTAGAAGCTTTCTTTGGAGCCATGGTGACTTATTTAGCAGTTGCAAACACTAAAACGAATGGAATATTATGAAATGTATCGTATTAACTCGTGGGTTCGTTCTCACTCACTGATAAACAATGGCACACTGGCTGGGAATGGAGTGTGAGGCAGCTTGGGGCTGTGTGTACCTGTCCCGGACGAACTACTATTCGAGAGTCAATCTTCGATTAGCGAGCCCATGTTTTTACGAAAATATCGCTACGATTTCCGAAAAGTACGACTCTCGAGCCCTACAATTATTGAGGGACCACTGTATTTTCAAATATAACAAAAAAAAGTAGATCAAAGTTTTTTACACGTTTTCAATTGTAAAAAAAAATTATGATCTGCTTTTTTTACATACTTTCAAATGTTGAAAAAACGTAGATCTACATTTGGACAGTTTAAGGGTTAAAGGAGGGGTTTGGGATATTGGCTGTTTGGAGTGCCATCTGAACTGTCATATCTAGGCACCTCTGCAAAGAAAGTGATTATGTGTGAATGATGGTGAAAGTGCTTTTTTTTTTTTTTTTTTTTTTTTTTGGGTCACCCTGCCTTAGTGGGATATAGCTGGTTTGTTGAAAAAAAAAATTATTTATTTTACACTAATAAGTTTTGATGTCACAGCATTGTTCACTAGAGTGCCTGGTTCTTTTATTTGGAAGAGAAATTAGATGAATTCTCCATGCCTTTTGATAAATATACCATTATTGAACTGATTAAGTTGTGTGTAGTTGACTGCAGTTTTGAGTTTGAAGAACAATACTATGCTCAAATGCTAGGAATGGCTATGGGTAATCCATTGTCTACCCTGATGAGCAATCTGTATATGGAATTTTTCAAGGCTAGGCTGTTGAAAAGTATCCTGCACCGGGGCCTGTTGGCTAATGCTCTCACTTCACACGGCGAGGGTCTGGTTTTAATTTCCAGCAAGGGTAGAAACATTGGGCATATGTCTTTACACCAGTTGTCTGTGTTCACCCATCAGTAAAATGGGTTCCTGGGAGTTCGTCGACTGGTGTGGGTTGCATCCTGGGACAAAACTGACCTAATTTGCCCGAAATGTTCTGCTTAATTAACCAGTGGTTTTCTATATAATAGTATGCCACTGATGTCGGCTAGGCCTGTATACCATGTACGATTTTTTTTTTTCAACAAGTCAGCTGTCTCCCACCGAGGCAGGGTGACCCAAAAAGAACAACAAAACCCAAAAAGAAAAATACTTTCATCATCATTCAACATTTTCACCTCACTCATACATAATCACTGTCTTTGCAGAGGTGCTCAGATAAGACAGTTTAGAAATCCCTCCAAACTGTCAATATCCCAGACTCCTCCTTTAACCCTTTCAGGGTTTCCGACGTACTAGTACGTCTTACGCACCAGGGTTATTGACATATTAGTACGCGTAAATTCTAGCGCCTTCAAATCTAGCGAGAGAAAGCTGGTAGGCCTACATATGAAAGAATGGGTCTGTGTGGTCAGTGTGCACAGTATAAAAAAAATCCTGCAGCACACAGTGCATAATGAGAAAAAAAAACTTAGACCGTGTTTTTGGTTTAAAACAGCGACTTTGCACTGTATTTTTATATGGTATTTATGGTTGTATTCTAGTTTTCCTGGTCTCATTTTATAGAATGAAAGATATATTACAGAAATTGAGATGATTTTGATTGGTTTCACAATGAAAAGTACCTCGAAATTTAGCTCAAAATAGCAGAAATGTTCGATTTTTGCCAAAGTTCAAAAGTAAACAAATCATGCCATGCATCCAATACACGTCAACTGGTGAGTCTAATATTCTTTCACAAGTGCGCTGATGTTATTTAAACCTTTTCTACACGAATGCAGTAGTCTGCATAACAGTAAATCTTCTATTTTTTATGAGAATAAAAATTCAAAGTGGAAAGCAAAAGAAATGTAAGAGAGGCATGGGGACATGATTAATGAACGGAGGAAATGTTATTTTAGTGCCACTAATGTCGTCTTGTTTATTCTGGACCCTATTTGGAAATTGGCATCTTTTGGAATTTGGGTCAAATTGGCAAAATTGCCAATTTTTGACCACTTTATTGGATACTTGAAATTGGTAAATGGGTGGTTTCTTGTACTCATTCGATAGAAAAAAATGAAGTTCTAGTGAAATAGTTATGAATTTTGTCGACTAGTACACTGGAATTGGCCAAAAACAGGGCTCAAAGTGGGCGAAATCGCTGATGTGCAAACATCGTTGAGACCGCTAACTTCGCACAAGCATAATTCTGTAAGTTTTTCATCAAATTTCATGCTTTTGGTGTCATTATGATCGGGGAAAAGATTCTCTTATCTTTTTTTTTTTTTTTTTTTTTTTTTTTTTTTCGACCCTTAGAACAAGATTAGGAGAGGGCCTCTTGACCCTGAAAGAGTTAAGTGAAGGCATTGCACTTCCCAGTTCCAGGATTCAAGTCGGGCTAAATCTATAGTAACCGGTTTCCCTTAATCCCTTCACTAAATATTATCCTTCTTACACTCCCACAGCTAAATAAAGATATTATTATTAGTAGTATTAGTATTATTATTATTAAAGCTAAATGGTTCAGATATGTGGATGACATCTTGTGTCTTTGACAAGATATGGCCCTGGATACACTTTCGCCAATATTTACGCTTTGGTCCTGTTCATTAAATTCACTGTGCAGAAAGAAGTGGACTCTAAACTTCCATTCTTAGATTCTTAGATGTATTGATACACCGGGTTGATAGAAAGTTTAAGTTTACAGTAGATAGGAAGGCCTCCAATGTGTGCTCATACATTCACTATTATTCCACCCATGAGACAAGATTTAAAAGGAGTATTTTTCTTACTATGTTTATGAGAGCTTTCCAAGTGTGCAGTCCAGAGTTCCTAGAAGAAATTAAGAAAATATTTGATATTGTCATGAAACTGAGGTACCCTAAAGAGTTTGTGGAATCTGCGTTGCTGGCAGCTTGGTAAACATATCATGGAGCTGAGCCTAGGATAACACCTCAGATCAAGAATGTGCTAGTTCTCCCATACAATGAGAATTTATCTGTCCTGCCAAATGCCCTTAAAAGATTTAATGTACAAGTAGTTTTTAAGAATTCACGGACTCTTAGAAGCATTCTGATAAAGAAATCTTCTCAACTGTGTTGGTGGTGTCTACAGAATTTGTTGCAGTGGTTGCAATTTATCCTATGTGGAACAGACGTACTGCATAAGAATCAAACACGATTTTCAACCACATTAGAACTTGTAAGAACTCGGCAAACTGGTCAGAAGCAAGAGTCATTGTCCTTCGTTCCTCTTGGCTTGAACAGAATATTGTAGAATCGGCAATTATAAAGCGTGAAAAGTGTTAATTGTACAATAACAGTGGCGGGTTGTTCAAAATTAGATTCATTTTCTTATACAAATGCATTGGACTGTCTTAAGTGTAGTCCCACACCAAGGAATTAGGGCCCATTTTTCTTGCTTTTTCTGTTGCTTAGACCAGTGTATGCCTCAGAATCCTGTAGGATAGATAAACTATGGCTGTCTTCCTTGAAATTACAGATGCCTTCCCTTTAAATGGAACCCTTTTCTAGTGATGTGAAAATTCCTATGACACTTATTAGATCTGTCTTTGGTATGTAAAGTCATTTTATATCATATCCAGCATCTTCCTCAGAAGTTTGTGGGATAGATTAACTATGGCTGTTTCAGTTTGTATAACTTACAGATGTCTCCATTTAAATGTGTCCCTTGAAATGGGCCTGTTTTCTAGAGGACCAGCAACTCCCAAGATAATTGCCACTGATATTTATATTTGGTATGTAAGGTTATTTATATCATAGCTTAGTCTGGCCATATTTTTGATAATTGCAATGTCACATTCATTAGGCTACTAGTATTACAATATCAGTGCTTGTGGGCTGGCTGTTTTTCTAATGGTATGATATTCAATCTTTCTGGCAATGGGTATTGGTATGCCTGGGGTCACTTCCTGCCTTCATTTATGTATTCATTCATTCAACATGTCGGCGATCTCCCACCAAGGAAAGGTGAACCAAAAAAGAAATGCTTTCACCATCATTTACACATAATCACTGTCTTTGCAGAGGCGCTCAGATACAACAGTTCAGATGTCACTCCAAACAGCAAATATCCCACCTCCAGGACTCAAGTCCGGCTAGCAGCATTTATTGCCAATTGTCCAGTTGGTCTTTCTCCCTTGTAAACATTGAACTTTGGAGATAGAGTATTTAAGTTTTGCTTAGGCTACTTTGAGAAGTTTTTTCTTTGCTCATATTAAATACTGAGTTAATGGGTATCATTCTAGAGCAATGACGATGAAAAGGCTGAAGATGGACCTGATGCTATAGAGGAAGAAGAGGAAGAGGAAAATGGGGATGGAGAAGATGATGAAGGTGATGATGAGCAAGATGAAGAAGAGGATGAAGATGGTGATGATGAGCAGGATGAAGAGGGAGATGATGAGCAGGATGAAGAGGGAGATGATGAGCAGGAAGAGGATGATGAAAAAGGGGGAGGAGCAAGAAGAATATGAAGATATGGATGCTGAGGAAGAGGATGAGCAGGATGATAGTGAGAAATAAGGGATTTTCTGATAGGGATTGAAAGCTTACATAAAACTTGACCACGTTGCATCTGACATCTTAAAGTAATGAGATGACACCCATTAAATATTCTTTCTGAGACCCATGGTGTTTAAGCATCACTTGCATCAGCACCATGATGGCTACCAAGTTCTTATTTATGCAATTCTTGAGGGTTGCTTGTTCACATTTAATGCATAAACTAATTTTTGCCAGTGATGAATGTGTAGTATGACACTGAACATCTTTTGTTTAGGAGCTTGATAACTGTTAGGTGTAGTGTACATCTACAGCAATCATTTGCATTAGTTTCAAATCCTTACTAACATCTGTGAACTCTTATATACAGTTGAACCTCTTCTGTCTGCATTTCAGATTCAGATATTGATGTAAAAGACCTACATAAGATCTTTCCCAATCAGGATCATATAGCTTAGAATAATTGAGTGTATACAAGTACAGAATAAGCATCTTAACATAATAATTATGCTGACAGTTATAATAAGTACAACTAGTATCTAACCTATTTCTTTCTTTCAACAAAACCAGCCGTATCCCACCGAGGCAGGGTGGCCCAAAAAGAAAAACAAAAGTTTCTCTTTTTAAATTTAGTAATTTATACAGGAGAAGGGTTTATTAGCCCCTTGCTCCCGGCATTTTAGTCGCCTCTTACAACACGCACGGCTTACGGAGGAAGAATTCTGTTCCACTTCCCCATGGAGATAAGAGGAAATAAACAAGAATAAGAACTAGAAAGAAAATAGAAGAAAACCCAGAGGGGTGTGTATATATGTGCTTGTACATGTATGTGTAGTGTGACCTAAGTGTAAGTAGAAGTAGCAAGACGTACCTGAAATCTTGCATATTTATGAGACAGACAAAAGACACCAGCAATCCTACCATCATGTAAAACAATTACAGGCTTTCGTTTCACACTCACTTGGCAGGACGGTAGTACACCCCTGGGTGGTTGCTGTCTACCAACCTACTACCTAGTTACCTATTTATTAATATCTATTATTTTCATTATTTTTTAAACACATAACTGACATGGTCATAGAAAACAGGTCTAAGATATCGTTGTCATTTTGAGTGGACACTGTGATGTACCGTATAGTTATACATGTTTTCAGGAAATATTGGTAGCTTGTTGATAACAGATTTAATTGTTGCCCTTTGAATTGTTTTTTCTCAAGTTGATGGCAGTGATGGGGCACAGGGGCTGAAAAGAGTTATGCTAGGATTGCATCTACCTGCTGACAGTCTCAAATGCACTCTTTCCCACCTGTAGTTGTTCACCACCAAAGACTATATGAAAGCTAGAAGGCTCAAATTGGAAACGGTAATCAAATTTAACATGCACATGGTAGGTTAAGTTCTCCACTCAGCTAATGCCATTACAATAGAATTTTTTTTGTCAGTTATATCTATTTAAAAGGATAAGGTTTTATTATACAACTGCCTTGCTATACAGCGATATTTTAAACAACGGGTTATGATGAAACATCTTTTCATATTAAGATGGCTAATAATTCAAAATATTAGACTTTAATAATAAAGTAATGTTCTAGTTATACCTATAATTATTATATACAGTATGATTGTTGATGTAAAATGGCTTATTCCACATTTCAGTTTACTACTCTTTTATTATTTGCTATGTGGGTGGTAGGGTAATATGGCTATCCACCTGTAACTAACCAGTATTACGAGTATATAGATTCCTCTATTTATTGGTATCTTCATATTGCTAAAAGGTTAGGAGACAATGATCAATGTGTATAAGTATCTGTTGGTAAATGTGTTAGACTATAAGTGAATCCAAGGATCCATTTGTTACACAAGGACCACCACCTGGTAACAGCTGGCACAACTGCTCTATAGCAATAGATCTTTAATTCTCAATAGACAGAATATATGTTAATGCATAATTTCACTTCCCCTTTCCTCCATTGTGTTTTATTGTTGAACCACTTACAATAATTAAATAACTACAGACCCCAGTTTAGTATACCAGTGAGTTTTAAAATGCCACAAAATTATCAGTAATCTTTAAACTCCTTCAGTATTTACAGTTACAGTAGTAATTGATACTGAAGTGCTCATTAATCTGTAAATCCTAGAAACACTGCTCGTATCTTAATGTGACCCTTACATATTGCTTCCATTATAGAGTTAATGGCAGAGATTGGGTATTGCCCCTTGTTAATGTTTGTAGGAGGAACCTCTCCCTAGTAAAGTGATGAGTTCTCGAATGGTTTCACTAATGGTATACAGATGAGCTTTGATCTGATATTTTTCCTGTGAAAAGCATGTTTATAGAATACATCTATTTTGTGATACTTCTGTATATATATATTTAGTATTTATTGAAGTCAATCAGTGTTTCAATGTGCTGTCAGCTTCACTTTGTTTAGTTTCCATAAAAAATTTATTGATGAATTTATTGTTAAATACTGGGGACCTGGACACTTTAAATAGAAAATGTAAACAGGCAACTTGCAAATAAACACCTTTCACACACAGGTGAGAATATTGAGAGGGTGAAGGAGGGAGGGAGGTCTCTTAAATATTTCGTCTCAATTTCTGTGTCTCGCCATGAATTAAACTTGAAACACTTGGCTTCAAGTGTTAAATGAAAAGTTGGTCTGTTAATAGATTGAGTGGTAGTCATTACAGTGAGTGAAAGGTTGATTGTACCAAGAGAAGAAATTGGTAAGGCTTCCACTGATGCCACTACTATAGACAGTAAAAAGGAATTATCCAGGGTATACAACATTGGTATCTATCTTTCTTATTTCTTTCTTTTTTTCTTTCTCTTTCTCTTTTTTTTTTCTTTCTTTTTTTCTCTCTTCTCTTGCTCTCTCTGTCCCTCCCTCCTTAAATCTGTGTGTGTTCACATAAATTTGTCTGCAGTGTTGTTATAACATAGTCTGTGATGAAGGAGGTATCAAGTTTGCTCTCTTGTGTTTATGCTTCTTGAGTCTCTTGAGATTATGTACAAAATATGTATACTAATTTCATAGTATTGATATGAAATTGCATCACAGTATTTGTATTACAATAGAGCTTGTTCAGTCTGCCAAGAATATATAAAATGAATGTTTTCAGTGACTTGATCATAAAATAATACTTTTTTACAGGAGTATTCGTCTGTTGAAAGTTTTTTGACTACTGGTTGTAGTGCTTTTGTTTTGTGCTTATTTTTTATCTTATAAAATATTAGTGGATACAGTATATATAATTAGAATGACCTTTTGTTATTCAAAGCTTGAAGCAACTAAGTACTCGCAGGTTGGACACCAACCATTAGTTTCTTCTCCATCATGAGATAGTTATAATATTAATGTCAGTGTTGTTAATGGATATAAGCACTGGCATATTTAAGGGTAATGTAAATGTGGAGCTGTGTGTCTAATATATGTTGTTTGACACGGTAATAAGAGGTTATTTTTCTGTTGAAACTTGTTTAACTATGTCTGTTAATATAAGTGTGAAAATCACCTTAGGTTATGAATAGCCGACTGTTAGTTTGTAAATGCTGTTGATAGTCTTTTTTTGGGGGGGATTATTAATGAGCAACATAATTAACATTACTATTATTATTACCATTTTATTAGTTTTTTACATAAATATATGCATTTACTTGTGTGTGCATGGGGCTGTGTGTTTGTGTGTACATATTTTAAATCTATTTTATGTCAGGGATAATTAAAGCATAAGTAATCAGGTAGTGGCCATTCCTCTGTTCAAGTATAAATTTTCTTACTTAAAAAAATAAATGATGCAAATTTGTAATAGTAAAATGTTATCCATATATATATATATTTTTTTTTTTGGACAGTCTAGAGTTAACCAATAATGTTTGATGTCATTTTTAATTGTCCATTTTTCAGTTAAGTATAAATATACAGTAAACATCCATTTACCAAATTATTTACCATAATTGGATTTCTAAAATCATTATGATTATCCCAGCATTTTTCTGGATTCCTTAGTAAATATTAAAATAAATAATACAAGTTCATCAATAAGCAATACATATTAGGTGACATGTACAATAGGAAATATAATTAATATTTTAGAGAAATAATTAACAGAAAATTAAGTTATCTCTGTTGCTGCTTCATCACCTTGTAATTGCAGTGCAGATAATCATAAGTTTTCTAATGTCATGGCTGGCTTCAATTCACTTGAGAGAAGTAATCTGCAGGAGCCCCTGACCAGATGAGATGGCTATTCAATTATGTTGAATGGCTGGCTTGAAATTTAAAAGCCAGCCACTACAAAAATTAAAAGGCTCATAAATCATAATAATTTCATTTAATAAGTATTTAGCATTTTCACAAATTATCTAGTCAAAGTTCACATCCTTCTTTGTAAAGAAAATGACACTGTTGACAGGTAGCAATTGTCAGTAAAGACTTGAACCTGGCTATTAAGAGTTAAGATTTTCATGTGTTATCCACATACCTTTTTTGAAAAATATTGACTTATTTAAAAAGAATTATTGCTTAAGATGGAATTTTACTGTGTATTTTATTACTTATGTTTTGTTACATTTTCACTTAATACATTAACAAAGTTTTGTGTTTTCTGACTGCTCTCAGTAAATCTCTTAATGTGTTGTGTGTCCACTAAAGTATATGTTATACAGTATTTGTAAATAAGTTTGCTGAAAACCATATCTTTGACAACCAGTGAAGAAGGTGGTTCCATGTTGTCTTGGCTTTCCCATTCAAGTATTGTCTTTGAACTGATATGATTATGTTAACAACCTCGAGTAAGTTTTATGGGTATTGTATTGTTTATTAATATGCAGTGGATGCTTGACTTTCCTAATTATATGGGGGCAGAGCCTCAGCTGGATGTAGGGCTGTCCAGTTAAATGTGGGTCTTTTTTGTTTTTTATACCCACGTTAATCAAGTGCATCACACGAGTATTTTCATCATGCTGGTTAAATCAACACTGAGCAAAAAAAGGTCAACGGGGGCCTTAGAGGCAACCCCGAACTGTTCTAATAACTGGCCTTGTTTAATTAGGAGTGTGATTATTCATTGTCTTATCCAGTGGCTTTTTGGCCATGACATTCAGTTATTTGTTTTACCATTAAGAGAGCACCCACTGTAGTGATGTCCCATTTATGCAAGTGTCTATGAGGATGGAGATTATGTTCAAGTTATGTACAGTACTTTGACTCATTAGTGCCCTTTACATTTGAAGGTTCTTACTAATAAACTATATATATATATACAATCGCAGTCGGGCGATCTTAACTATGCAGGACAAGCCACAGAGGGGTGGAAATCTTTAGCTCGAGTACTTTCACACTTTTCAGTGCGTCATCAGGAGCTGTGCAATGTTGCAAGGGAACAACCAAAGCAGGGAGAGAGGTCTCAGAGTAGCATACACCTACGCTACTCTGAGACCCCTCTCCCTGCTTTGGTTGTTCCCTTGCAACCTTGCACAGCTCCTGATGATGCACTGAGAAGTGTGAAAGTAGTTGAGCTAAATATTTTCAGCCCCCCTGTGGCTTGTCCTGCATAGGTGTGTGTGTGTATATATATGTATGTATGTGTGTGTGTATATATGTATGTATGTGTGTATATATGTACGTGTGTGTGTATATATGTATGTATATGTGTATATATGTATGTGTATATATATGTACGTATATGTATATATGTACGTATATGTATGTATGTACGTATATGTATATATGTACGGATGTGTATATATGTACGGATGTGTATATATGTACGTATATGTATATATGTATGTATATATGTACGTATATGTATGTATATATGTACGTATATGTATATATGTACGTATATGTAGATATATGTATATATGTACGTATATTTATATATATATGTATGAACGTATATGTATATATATGTATGTACGTATATGTATATATATGTGTATGTACGTATATGTGTATATATATGTATGTATATGTATATATGTATGTACGTATGTATATATACATGTACGTATATATGTGTGTGTATATATAGATATATGTAAAACACACACACATGCATACTTACATGCATACTGTAGTTATAATCCAAGCCTGAAACATGGAGTATAGCTCCCAAACTTCTTGTTGGAGGCAAGGGGAACTTATCACATTATTTTCCATGACTGAGTTGATTTAAGATTATTGTTCCTCAGCAGCAGGTCTGACCAGAACCCATGCTGTTCATTAGCTGTGCTGGTCACACCTCCTTATATTTGGTGGGATTAGAATTGTTTTATGCACAAGATGTAGTGAGACATGTTGCAATGGTATAGATTGCACAGAAATAGCACTGAGTATGTTTGTTATTTGCTTAAGGTGTGGTACAGGGGTATCAAGACAATCTTCTATTATAATAATAAAGGTTATTTTGGTTGTTGTGTGATGTAGCTACTACAGGATATTTCTAACAGGTCACATGTTTTTTTTTCCCACCCCCTTTTCCTTTTCTATCTTAGTTTCTTAAATAAATAAATGTTTAAGATAATGTCTGGCATGGATTTGATTAAGTATTGCAACATATTAAGAAAAGCAAATCTATTTATGAGTTCTGCTTTGAAAGCACAAAGTTTGTATGACCTGATGGTGTAGAATTTTATTAGCCATTACTTAGAAAGCTCTGATTTTTTCTTAGGTTACCTAATTTTGACTATTATGAACATAGGGACAGAATTGTCCTTTCTGCTAATAATGGATAGTTTTGTGTGTGGTCACATGGTACTTCAACTTGTTTATCCAACATTTTCAATTCTTCAAAATTTACATTAATGATTTGACATTGTTCTCATTTTCTCGACAGCCTCTAGCCTACACTGTGCACGAGTCCTATCTTTTTTTCTTGTAGCTGTACATTTTAAGTTAGTCTTTTTTTTTTAGCATTTCTTGCTTCACTGTTATATAATCAGACCCATGTGTAGGTATAATTTTGGGGATATATTTTTGGATTTGGCACTTAAAATTGTGCAGCATGTAAATAGCTGAAATATTTGGAGACAATCCTGTATGCATTACTGTACTTAGAATGTAGTAATTAGCATGTTTGGAAATGAAAGGTAAGGAGATGGCAGTCTAGTTTGTTAGTGAGAGGGAGAAGAACTTTTCTCTTGATTTATCTACCATTCACATTCATTTGTTTAAGTTAATTTTTGTGAGATGGTGTTCATTTTCATAGTATTTAATTGATTCTTATTTTCAATATCTTTTTTTTTTGTTAGGTAAGACACATATGCAACAGTTAGACAATATCTTATTGGAACTAATAAAAAAAATTTAAATGTTTGTGCTTTCTAGATATAATTTTTCCAGTATATAGCTCAGGATAATTAATTTTGCTTGTTTTTTTTATTTCTTCCTGTTTATAACTTGCTATTTAATTTAGTTATAGTCTCAGTATTTAAGTATTGTTTAGATGACTTTCTTTGGGATTGTTTTCAGTGAGATATGGAGAGGTTAGCACTTGCCCATCAATATAATAATATGAAGAGGTTTGGTAACTCCCTGTACCATGTTCCACATGCATTATGTCCTTCATTGTTTTAGGTTGCAGTGAGAATGCTTTTGCTATGGAGTAGACTTGTTACTCAGCAGAAGAAAGTGCTAGACCTTTTTCAATCTTGACTAACTGTACAAACTTGGCTATAGTTTCTAAAGGTGTTGTAGTAGTTCTTAGATTAGATCAAATACCATTATATGAATTAACTGTAAGACTTGTGCTATTCTGTATTCCAGGATGTATGTTATGTATATAATAGTGGAATTTTCTTAATAGGGGACAATTTTCAGAATTGGTTTTAATTTAGTTTTATTTTAAATTGTATTAACCACCAAATTAAGGAATTACAATTCGCAGAGTTTTTCTTCTCTTTGAATCTAACGGGATGCCTTGCAAAAATGAGAATTTATATAAACACATTCAGTGACTATCTATTCACAAGTAACTCTTCATACATAATGAAGCACTGTAGCTATCTATTTTTCTTGTAATAAATACATAGATGAAAGTGTTGAAATTTCAGTTTTCTTCTCCTCAACTTAGTGTGGATTATCACTGATAATATAAAATACCAAACAACTCATGCGGGTAGCCTACACCATAACAGTGTAGAAATTGCTGGCGCTTCGGGCCTCTTCAAGGGGGGCTCCTTGGCGTGGTGAAGAGGCTCTTGGTCTGAGGAATTAGACCTGTCAGTCTCCTTCCTCAGACCGAACCTAATTACTCACCAATCCCCCCATCCCTATCCCATCCTACCCTTTTTCCTTTCCTCCTCCCCACCCCTCCCTTTTGCCCTTCCTCTTTTTGGCCTTTTGGGTTTTTCCCACAGGCGCACTACTTCCTAGGTAGGGGAAAGGGTACCGGGGTCCATCCCATTCCGTTGAGGTTCTTGGCGGTGGCGTAGTTTGCCGTGGAATGTGGATCGCCTGGGAATGTCCCCCTCTTCAATTGAGGGGGGGCTCCTTGGCGTGGTGAAGAGGCTCTTGGTCTGAGGAATTAGACCTGTCGGTCTTCTTCCTCAGACCGAACCTAATTACCCCCCAATCTCCCCTCCCCTTTTTCCATTCCTCTCCTTTCCCCCACCCCCCCCTTTTCCCCTTCCCTTTTTTTTGGCCTTTTGGGGATTTCTCCCACAGCGCGCTAGTTCCTAGGTGGGGGAAAAGGGACCCCGGGGGCCATCCCTTCTGTTGAGGTTCTTGGGGGGGTGTAGTTTGCCGTGAATCTGGATCGCCTGGGGATGCCCGATCCCTCCCCGGGTATCCCGGAGTAGTTTGGGTGTTTTTCGGGTGAGGGGGTGTATCCGGGAAGCCCCCTTTCGGTTTCCCGGGGGTGGGGGCCCAAAGGGAGGTTGCTTTGGTGGCCGATACCCCGGCCACCCTCTTTTTTGCCACCGGGGTACTGCAGAGTGAGGTTGCTACCCGGTTTTGCGGGTTTAAACGGGCATAAAGGAGGGTAGGCAGGGTTCCATGCTGCACTGCGCTACAGGGTGCTGAGGTCCTTTTGGGGGGGGAGGGAGATTTCCGGCCCTTTCCCTTCCCCCGGGGAACAAATTCCCCCCCTCCCCCCCCCCCTTTTTTAAATTGTTTTTTTTTTTTTTTTCTTTTTTCTTTTTTTTTTTTAAAAAAAAAAGCAAAGGAGAAACCAAAAGGGGGGGGGAACCCAAATCCATGAACCCCTACCCCCGGGGCCCCCTTCTTGATACCGCACCCCATTCTGACCCTGCCTTGTGTTTAGCCCACTCTTCGGACACTCCTGACCCCCTGTACCTTTTGCGGGTGCTTTTTCCTCCCCCTTCAGGAGGGGGCTTCGACGACTCCTTATTTGTCTGAACCCGCTCTCCTTTTACTTGCTTCCGGCTTTCCCCCTGCGGTACGGCAATTTTCGAATCGCCCGCCCATTTCACCCGGACCAACTCCGGGGCCTACTTCTAAACGCCAACGTCAATCCCTGATACTCCTTCGTTACCTTCCCATTTTACTCGGAAAAAGACTGACACTCAACACTCCCCTCCCCCTCAGTTTTTGGGCCACACAAAAATAAATTCTTTCTTTAAGACCCACTTCTTCTCCTACCTTTCGACCATAGTATTGGGAAAGCGCTCCCGCTCATGTTGGGGAGAGTATTTCATTTCATGCTCTCAAAGCGGGACCGCATGTCCTGTCCAGAATGCTACCAAGCTCATGATCTTTCTCTCCCCTTTAATATCGATACTACTACACTATTTAAAAACATCTTTCTCTCAATTCTTGTAGTGGTACTGTCTTCTGCCCCATACCATAGTCCAACAGAATTTCCAGTCATGTGGCAATGACATTCTTGAACAGCTG